TACTCATTGTTATTAGTTTCCCATTTTCCCCTACCCTCCCCTAACCATTGATCTAGTTAATGTCTTAATAGATTTACCTATCCTGGATTTCATATACAAGAAACCATACCAAAAAAGTAAAACAGGAAAATTTCAATAGAAAATATCATATTAAAAACTAAGAACAATAACAAAGTACAGCAGAGAAAAACTTCAGTCTGCAGTAATCCCCTTTCCAATGCACGGTCCATGGTAACAAGGGTGCTCAACGGCCTTGGTCTATGGTCAGAAGGAGTTCATCCATGTTAGAGCCTAACTCCATGGTGTGCCTTTTCTTTGCTTTTAAGTAAAGCGGAAGTAAACATTTACCTATTTCATCTCCTCTCCCTATCCAGAAAATGAATCTCATCTGTCCTCTGTCAATTAACCAAATCTTGACATTAAAAAACTTGTGACTATAGTTATATGTATTTTAAGCCAGTTCTTTGGTGTTGTGTGGGTCTGTTATATAAATGATTGCATTTCGTAAAATTCTAGAAAATGAAAATTCATCTGTAGCAAATAAAAGCAGTCCCAGAGGTCACAACGGTTAGATAACTGTTCTTTATCTTCATTGTGTATGCTCAAAGGGGCCCCAGAAAGTTTGTGGAAAAATCCTTTGATCTTTTCATTCCATTTTTCCATGAACTTTTTCTATGTATGTGAGACCTCAACAGTGATACTCCTTAAATATATACTGTTTATTCTAAGTTAAGTATTGTCAGCAAAATTAGGTTCTTTTTTAAAAGTTAACATTATAATTCACTTCAATGTTCTTAAACTTAGGTATTTTTGTTTTCTTTAAATTTTAGGGAGGAAATCCTTCAGCAGTCCCTGTGGGAAAGAGTATCAACTCATGTGATTGAAAACATCTATCTTCCTGCCGCACAGACTATGAATTCAGGGACGTTTAATACTACAGTGGATATCAAGCTTAAACAATGGACTGATAAACAACTCCCTAATAGAGCAGTAGAGGTTAGGATGTAATTTAATTCCCTTGGTAAGAAGCATGTGTGAAGGGACGAGGAGCTGTGGGTTTTAGGTTGATCACTTCACAGCCATGAACTTTATTTTTAGCCCGTGTACTCCACTGTTTTAAATGGTAGGAATTGCCACAGGGCTAAAAGTATTGATTCTTTTTCCAAAGATAGCATTTTTTTAAAGCCAGCAAAATATTTTGAATTACTCTGGATGGAAATTCTGTAAGAAAACATGTTTAATGCAGGGAAAAAAGTTGTATTGATGGATTTTCTAGACTGCTTTTATATATTTTATAAGCTCTCGCCATAAGTTTAGACTAAGGAAGTCCATTAATTGGAGAAGCCATTTTTGTTATCCACGCATGTCTGCTCTCCAGGATCCTTGGGGTAGTGAACTTTTCTGGTCTCTTTCCTCTTGTGAAATTGGGGTGGTTCTTTCTCCACCTTGTAGGGTAGCTCTGAGGATTACATAGTGAATGCGTGGAAAGACTTAGTCTGTGGCACATAGTAAGTGCCAGTTGCTGATAGCTTCATTGCCATATCTGAGCTAGTCAGCCATACACATTGTTCTCAAGAGTGATTTTCCTCAGTCAATGTTTTATGGTTTGTGTGTGTGAAGGTACAAAATTGAAATGGATGTTAAAACTAACTTTGCTTTTCACTGCCTATCCCAGAAACAGTTTCAGTTTCCAGTGAATTGCTTGTGGTTTCATCCCTTTCCTCTCCAGCTCTAGGGCTCCGTTTCCTCTAGCTTCCCATACTGAGAACACTTAACTCCTCTCTTCCAAAGTTGCATGTCGCTGAACCCTGGTCAGTTCTCAGCACATTTACCTGTGAAAGAGTAGAAGTGCTGCTGCCACCACGTGACTGGCGGCCCTCACTACTGGCTTTCCCTCACATCCGGGGCCCTGTCTCGTAATAGGGTATTCTTCTGTTCTAAAGTTCAAGCAGTGGAAGTGGTCATTGAATGGGCATAGAATCGTCTTATGCTGATGTCCATCCTTAGGCCTAGGAGTAGTTGACGGAACATCATTGCCCAGGTGACAGGAACAGAGATTTTTAAGACCAGTGCCATCGCTAACTGGGTATTCTTCGATGTACCTCTTTTTCTTTCAGGCTACCTTTACCTGTCACATGAGGAAGGCTAAACATAAAACCTACTTACGTAAAAGTAGTGTTTGTTCTTAATTACTTTTGACACTCTGCCGCCTTTCGTTTCCTTGAGGAGACTGTTCAGCGTTACCTAAAGTACACTCCTGAATAATCCTCTGCTCTATTAGAAAGTGCTAGTGCCACACCGAAGATCAAACCATTGACTATGGCGTTTTAGACTCCAGTGGGGAAGAAGCAGGAAAACCCCAGTGAATACTGGGTGAAACAAGTCCAGTGGCAGACTGATGTGCTACCCTTATCTGGTGGGGGACTCATGGAGGAAGGGGGGGTACGGTGTGGGCGCAATGTCCCAGGAAGGCTAGAAATGCAGATTTTATAGCAAGCCTCCTAACGTTTCAGTGCCAGCTCACTGATTTGTGAAAGTGGTGAACTCTATGCAGAGCACATCAGGAGGGCAAATCTCTCGCCCAACAGCCAGCTGCCACTGGGCAAGTTTATGCTCGCTGCCCTTTTTTATGTTGGTTTATGTATGTTTTCTGATAAATTGATCTCTTTTATTTAACTTGAATTCATGTTTCTGTTTGTATTATGTTTTAACTAAACGCATATAGTCTAAGTGGCTTTCTTTTCCTCTTTTAAATAATCTTAGGTTGCTTGGGAGACGTTGCAAGATGAATTTTCCCGCTTCATGACAGAACCTAAAGGGAAAGAGCATGATGACATCTTTGATAAGCTGAAGGAAGCTGTTAAGGAGGAAAGCATTAAACGCCACAAATGGAATGACTTTGCAGAAGACAGCTTGGTGAGTCATGTGCACATTAGAAAATCGACCTCAGATTTTTGTATAGCTTTTCAAACTAATACGCTTTTGGAGGGGACTTTTTTTCTTTTATTATAACTACTTAAAATTTTTTTAAATCATTTTATCGGGAGCTCATACAACTCTTACCACAATCTGTGCATCCATCCATTGTGTCAAGCACATTGTACATTTGTTGCCATCATCATTCACAAGACATTTGCTTTCTTCTTGAGCCCTTGGTATCAGCTCCTCACTTTTTCCCCTCCCTCCCCGCTCGCCCCTCCCTTGATAATTTATAAATTATTATTATTTTGTCATGTCTTACACTGTCTGATGTCTCTCTTCACCCACTTTTCTGTTGTTCATACCCCGGGGAGGGGGTTATATGTAGATCCTTGTGATCAGTTCCCCGTTTCTACCCCACCTTGCGTCCACCCTCCTGGTATCGCCACTCTCACCAGTGGTCCTGAGGGGTTCATCTGTCCTGGATTCCTTGTCTTTCCAGCTCTGATGTGTACCAGTGTGCATGCTCTGGTCTAGCTGGATTTGTAAAGTAGAATCAGGATCATGATAGCAGGGGCCGGGGTGGGGTGGGGGAGAGAAGCATTAAAGAACTAGAGGAGAATTATATGTTTCATCATTGCTACACTGCACCCAAACTGGCTCGTCTCTTCCCCACGACCCTTCTGTAAGGGGATGTCCAGTTGCCTATGGATGGACTTTGGGTCCTCACTCCGTACTCCTCCTCATTTTCAAAATAATTTTATTGGCATGTAATTCACTTATCATACAGTTTAGTGGTTCAGTCATGTTAAGAAGACATGTACAGTCGTCACCACAATCATTCTCAGAACAGTATCTTATACTTGTTGTTAGCTCTCATTTCTCCCCAGCTTCCCCTGCCATGCCCCTAAGTAATTTTTTATCCACTTACTATCTCTATAGACTCATCTATCCTGTATTTCATACACAAAAATTCATAGAAAACAAATAGGAAGCAAAGAATGCCACCAACAATGACCAAACAAAAGAGAAAAAGCTAAATCAAAAAGAAAGAAAATATTAAAAACAGACAACTTTAAAATGGGTCAGAAAGGAGATAAAATGATAAGATAACACATTTTAACCTAACCACAGCTGCCTTAATCAACTTTATAATGCTCTTAATCTGACGGCCAGGCTATTCACACCCCTGGGCTGTGGTCAGAGGGATTCACTGGAATCTAGGCTTAACCCATGGCGGCCCTGCAGATTGATTTTGGGTTCTCACTGTCCTCGATAGCCTTCTGAAAACTGGGTTCAATTCGATTCTGCTCAGAATCACATGATAGTTTCTATTTAAAATGACTAGGGAAATAAATAAATATACAGAGGGGCTTCAAAGAGTGCACAGGGAAAAAAATCCATTATCTTTTAATTCCATTTTTCTGTGAACTTTTTGAAGCCATCTCATATGATCTTTAATCTGCCCTTTAACACATTTTTCTCAGCCTTTCTAAGCTTCTGCCATTTGTGTCTTGGCTGTCATCTCAGAAAAGAACTTGAACTTCGTAGTAGCAGGCTTCCATCAGCGTGGGCCTAAGCTACATTTCACTCTCTGATGCAGCGAAAAGAAGGCTATGCATTGACTTTCAGTAGTTCTGAATCATAAAATATTGGAATCGTTAAAATCATAATGCTGCCTACTATATATTAAATGTTTATAGTGTGCCAGGACTCTGCTGAGTATTCTGTAGGCATTATTTTATTGAGTTTTTACAGTAGTCCTACTTTCATTAAAAGGATCCCTGGTGGCGTAGTGGGCTACGTATTGGCTGCCAAACTCAAGTTCAGCAGTTCCAAACCACCAGCTGCTCTGTGAGAGAAAGACAAGGCTTTCTACTACTCCTGTAAAGAGTTGCAGTTTTGGAAACCCACAGGGGCAGTTCTACCCTGTCCTCTGAGTTAGAATGGACTCAGTGGCACTGAGCATTGTCAGCTTTGGAAATCCTTTGGGACATTTCTGTTCTGTTTCGTAGGGTTGCTGTCACTTGTAGTTGGTGGGCGACACACATCAATAACAGCCTTGCCAATCACTGAGTTGGAATTTAAATCTGGCTCTGTCTGATTATAATGTTTTGGCCTCTGACCGTTATCCCCGACCTTTGTTCTATAGAACGTACTGCTATAACCTTTAGGAAACACCTGTTCTGCTCAGTGAGGAGAGGCCCTGTTCAGTGACAGGCTTGAGTTGTTGTCTAGGGACTTTCTATGGGCTGTTAAAATTAAAATTTGGAAGAAATGCCTGAATTATTTGAAAACCACACTCATTCTTGCCAATTACTTTATAAGATAGACTTTTGAAAGTCTGGTGCCACTTTTAAAGTTAGAAAACCCAATATTAGCTTTAATAAATAATATTTACAATTGCTTAGATCTTGTAAGTTTCTGCCTTTTTACGTTTATCGTTGTTGTTAACAGTGAAATGTGACTATTAACTTTTTCCTCTTCTCTTTTTTAAAAATTATAACACTTAAGTTATGTAGCCCAAACAGAAGATGATGATGATCTAACTTAATAACTCCTGAATGCGAGGGCTCTGGCTAATGAACTTTATGTTATTAATATCTCATAGATCTCTCTCTGGACTGTCTTAAAGATAGCTAATTTATGGTGGGCTGAGACGCTCTGTTGTTTAATTAGAAAGATGACAAATAAGGCGACCAAAAAAAAAAAGTGACCTGCATGTTTATGGGAAAAACATACTTGTTTGTTTGTTTTTTAAGTCATTTTATTGGGGCCTCTTACAGCTCTTCCTTACATCGATTATATCAAGCATATTTGTACATATGTTGCCATCATCATTTCCAAAACATTTTCTACTTGAGCCCTTAGTATAAGCTCCTCTTTGTCCCTCCCTCCCCAATCCTCCACCTTCATGAATCCTTGATCAATTACCGTATATACTCGAGTATAAGCTGACCTGAATATCAGCCAAGGAACCTAATTTTACCACAAAAACTCCATTTTAAATGTGCTGGAAAACTCGGTTTATACACGAGTATTTAGGTATATACTGTTATTATTATTTCATATCTTACATTGTCCGATGTCTCCCTTCACCCACATTTCTGTTATTGGTCCCCTTCGGAGGGGGGCTATATATCCAACCTTGTGATGGGTTCCCCCTTCCCCACTCCCTGACCATCTTCCTCCCCTCATGATATTGCTGCTCCCACTACTGTTCCTGAAGGGTTTATCTGCCCTGAATTCCATGTGCCAAGAGCTGTTATCTGTGCCAATGTGTGTACTCCAGTAGCCAGATTTGTAAGGTAGAACTGGATCGTGGTGGGGGGTGGGGGGAAGCATTCAGAAACTACAGGAATGATGTGTGATTTATCGGTGCTATACTACACCTTGGTTGAATCATCCCTTCCTTACAACCCTTGTGTGTGGGGATATCCAATTGTCTACAGATGGATTTGGGGTCTGTGCTCCAACCCCCTACGTTCGCATTGATACAGAAAAACATACTTTTATGTTGGTTTAGAAATATCTATTGCTTTGGATACTGACTACTCATGAGCTATTGATTTGAATAAGAGTATTAAAATGGTAAGCGGTCAATCAAGTTCGTCTTTTCCTTCCTCGTCCTTCAGAGAGTTATTCAGCACAATGCTTTGGAAGACCGGTCTATCTCAGACAAACAGCAGTGGGATGCGGCCATTTACTTCATGGAGGAGGCTCTTCAGGCTCGCCTCAAGGATAGTATGTAGTGGCGCGGGGTGGTGCACTCCGAGTATTCGCAGCGACAAAGGAGTCCTCTAACTTTGTGAACCTTCGCAAAATACAGTGACCATTCCTTTCTAGGTCTTTATCTATAACACTGTAGTTGAATATGATTTGTGGGTTTTTCAGTCAACTGCTTAGAATTAACTAGAAATGTGCAATAAATTGGATTTGTGTACTGATAGTCTAAAATGACGTAACGGAGACTATTTTAATGTGTTTGCTTACTGTATATATAGGAATTTAATAAGCAATTATGCGTTTTTTTGATTCTAGGTATATATAGTAAGTTCTTATGTCATACTTTTCTTATTTGAACGAGTTTGTATTGATAAAGCACTTTGAAGAAGTTAAAGAAAAATGATCATTATTAATTAGAAGCTATATACTTGATAACTGATAAAATTCTTAATGAATTGATTTTTTTCCCCCTATAGCTGAAAGTGCAATTGAGAACATGATAGGTCCGGACTGGAAAAAAAGGTGGTTATACTGGAAGAATCGGACCCAAGAACAGGTAAAAATAAACAATTCTCTGGTCTCGTGATGATATCATTTGTCATAATTCATTGGGGCATAAAAATACATACTGTATATACTCATGTATAAGCTATTTTCCAGCACATTTTTAATACAGTTTTTGTGGTAACAGGTGCCACAGCTGATAATTCAGGTTGGCTTATACTCCAGTATATATGGTAATGTTTGTGTGACACCCGGCCTATCTTAAGATTTTCTAATGGCTTATATCAACCTTTTAAAAATACAACTGGTCTTTAAAATAAACTGGAAACCTCTGTAAAAGAATTTTTCCTTAAGTAGAGTGGCTGTGTGGTGGGGAGAGTGAAAGGGGAGGTGAAACAGGCCATTTTGCGGTTGATTCCTTTGTCCACTTTAACTTCCTATTTCAGATAATCCAAGAATCAAAAAGTATATAAATATTAAATAACCGAATAAAACATTGACGAGCTCTGCTGCTTGGTCAGTGATCAGGAACTCCCAGCCACTCCTTGGGAGAAAGAAACGAGATTGTCTGCCTGTCAGGATTTCGAGCTTCGGCAACCCACAGAGGCAGGCTGCTCTTCCTGTAGCATCGCTCTTGGTCAGACACACACAGTGACCGTGATGAGAAAACCAGTTCAAAACCTTTTCTTGCTCCTTTATATTTCATCTAAAATGTTTGTGGGTAGTTTATTCAGATTAGTCTCTTACATGGTTTACATTTGTGTTCACAGAACAAATCTAAAAATTCAAGCGGGAATTTGAATTATAGTATCAATTCACTTAAGAAGAACAAAAGCATAAAGACAGGTATAAATAAATTTAAGAATGAATAAATAGAGGGAAAATGAAAATAATTAAGGTTCCCGCCTCCATCCCAAGCACCAGTCCTTTGATTCCCGCCAGGTTCTATGGCTTCTTTTCCGTCTCACAGTGGGGTCCTGTGAATCCCTAAAAGACCCAAGCTAGAACGCAGAACTTGAGGTAAATGAATGAAGAAGCAAATGGAGACTGAGCACTCCCATTGCACTCTTTTCTCTCTCTCTCCTGTTGGGTTCCTTGAATGCAATAAATGAGAGAAAGGGGACTACGGAAGGGAGGAAAACGGAGGCTGGAGTTGAACAGAATGAGACATATTAAATGACTTACCTTTATTCTTGTACTTTCTGTTTTTAGTTTCATTTCAGGTAGTGAAATTATACAGTGAATGCTCTACCTTTTTTCCCCCAGTTCCACACGTCTCTTCTTTGATAAGTTCCCTCTTAGTTGTGACTCTCCACCCGCCTCTTAGAAATAGTGAAGGGGGCGGACTTCCTTTTCTTTTCTCCCTGCCACGGGCCATGTGAAAGGGAGCCCCTGAGCCCCTGAGGAAGCGGACAGTCCGTGACTGGGCCGTGTGTGTGCTCAGGGGACATCACTGATCTCTGTTTTCCAGATGGGTTGCAAGCAGTTTTGTCAGAAAATACTTTCTAGGACATCCACTAGCGGTTTCTACCTTTGAGACAGGGAGAGACATGGATTGGGAAAAGCTGGTGTACGGCAGATAAACTCCAGAGGAAGATGGCGTCGGGCCTTGAAGTCTCAGGGAGATTAGACTTAGAGACTGTCCAAAACTATCGGCTGTGGCCGAACCTGCCTCAGCCAGCAGCTTTGTGGTGAACATGCTTTAGCCACACACGCTCAGAGGGAAACATTTCCTCGTGGTAAGAGAACTTGGAACTTGGACCCATTAGGAATCCCCCACCCCCCAGAAATAGAGGATTTCAGTCTAGGGTTAAGGCAATAGATCTGTGGGCAGGAAAGACATTTGGAATTTTGTTGGATAAGCACCTTCTCCCCAAGAAGTGTCAAGGCAGGATTCGTAAGACCCAGGCTGAGCGCGAACAGAAGCAGTGATTTGGAATGCAGAGGGTGCATTTCAGAATCTCCTGCGGGAGCATCTGTGTTGTTTTTCCCTTCAAAATACTTCCTATCAGACTCCTTTAGTCAGCGTTGCCCTGTCTAACCCATCTCATCCTCCCGCTCCCGGAGGAAAGCTGTGTCCTAGACCTCATACCAGGAGGTTCCAGTGGCAAACGGGTTCTAGGACAGTTGGCAGTATCCCCAGGACTCACAATGCACATCTAGGGAATGCTGTGACCATTTTTGTCTCCTGACTTTTGTAGTTTGTCCTGTGTAAAAAATGGGAACTCCTGCTCTGAAAACTATTTCGTCTATTTGTTGGTTCTTTTTTCTCAAGGAAAATGCATCCTTTTGAAATAGGCTCACCTTGTTCAAGGCTCCAGTAATGGGCATCTTGGTCAGGATAGATGAGATTAGTTGGTACATGTCATTACCACAGGTGGTCCCTCACCTCACACTAGCTGTGCGGCTGTTAAATGAACTGAAAATTTTCTTTATGAAACAGTGTTTCTCTCAAGCAGGGGTGGGAACCTTTTCCTGCTAAGGGCCATTTGGGTATTTATAACATCCTTCAGAGCCCGTACTGTTCACACATTTCATTAACACATCCCTCATACAATGGCGGAACTGCTTCTTTGTGATAAGGAGCGTACTGTTAGCTGGTATTGACGGTTTCTCCAGCCTTATACAGCCCATGGGCCCGACATTTCCTACCCATGTTCTAACAGGCTGTATTTTCACCGAGTTCAGTATAGAAGCCAACTACTTGTATGTTAAGTGTGATGCTTGGGCAAATACTGCCCCATAATTTGATGTAGTCTGGGGTCAAGAGTATCAATGAATGTAAAGATAGTTCCTTTTACCATGCAATTTTAAAGGAAGGGTTGAATAATAAAGAGATTAAGACGGGAGTCTTCATTTTCATAATTTACAACTAGTGTTGCATATGCCACCCCCAACAAAGAGATGGACGTCAAGCTGAATGCTAGCTACTAGCCTCACAGCAGTGCTTGCTGAAGCAGGATTTTAACCCTTTCACGACCTGCCCATAAGACATACACCAACCGGCTACAATTTCCTCCTCTGGGGTTTATTGGACACCTGCTTTCCCACTGGCAGTGCATGCAGCTGTCAGGAAGGGTGGCCAGTAACTGAAGTGGGAGAACTGGGATGGGCCACAATTACTTTTTTACAGGGTATTGAATGAAAGTATACATGATGGGGAGATGTGCGTTTGCAAAACTTTTTAACTTGTAAGTATATTTCTGGGTGCCGGTGCCTTATTGTAGGAGCCCTGGTAGCTTAATTGTTGGGCTGCTAGCCACATGGTCAAAAGATGGAGCTGTCGCCCTCATAAAGATTTAAAGTCTCGCATCCCCTGTGGAGTATCTCTACTCTGCCCTATGGGACACTCAACTTGGCAGCAGTTGGTTTGGATTTAGGGGCACTATTTGGAATTTGCCTTTCTCTCAGTTTGTCCATGTTTGCACAGATGGGGCACCCTAAATTTCATGCACCTGCCAAGAGCTGTAGAAGGTGGTGTATATGTGTCATATAATTTTACCCCCAAAGTCCTGAATAACAAGTGTGCTCCACATAACATGTTTCAAAAAGTACATTTTATAACCAGGTTTCAGAAATTCTTAATTCAACTTGCCTTTCATTAATGGAAACACAGGAGGACATCAACAAAAAAATTCAAAGTGGAAAATAATTGGGTTGATGAAATGCTTTAAAGTCAAACTATGCATTTTAAATTTAGTTTCTATATCAGAAATAAGTGTGCGTTCTTATAGTCTTCCAGCGTTTGAGAGAAAGCATTTATGGAGCATTATGTCTTTTCATCCATCAGGGCACATTTTCCTAGACCTGGATCAGAGAAGTAACAAACGTGCATAAGAGATGTTAGTGCTGTCACTTCAGTAGTAAAACTTTGTAGTCAACGTGAAATATAACCAATTTTCTGTTTCTCCCCTAACCTAATAAGGCCAGGTTGCCATGCCTTCTGGAGCCATGGGCCTCTATTCATGAACCAGGTTACAGGGTTCTTTTCTGGTTTTCGTAACTAAGTGGATGTTGCTGGTTGTGCGGTAGTAATATAGCTATTGAAATTGGGATTCTGTATTTCTGAGTGTCATCTCAACATTCTCTTTTAAACATTCTGCAGTGTGTTCACAATGAAACCAAGAGTGAACTGGAGAAGATGTTGAAATGCAATGAAGAGCACCCGGCTTACCTTGCCAGTGATGAGATAACCACAGTCCGAAAGAACCTAGAGTCCCGAGGAGTGGAAGTAGACCCAAGTTTGGTAATAATATTTTTAAAACATATACCTGTTTGCGTACTCTTCGCTTCCAGTAAAATGCTACTGCATCTTATGTCTTCCTTAGATATTTTAGTGTTCTGTCTAACTTTGATCATGTTTACAAGGGGAAAAGATCCTGGAATTTTTCCACAAACACTCTGAAGCCTCTTATATATGAGGGGGTACCCCTCCTTCCGAACTCAGAATAATTGAACTGAGCAGAGCTCATAGTATGCATTCATAGTATGCATTTTTCCCACTCGGTGAGCATGGAGCAACTCACTCTTGAGTTAGTGCACCCAGTGACATCTCCTGGGAAGGTTCTCTCAGGTCACAGTGAATTTTTTTTATAAAAGGACTTTCACTCAAACCTCATCTTTTATGATGGTCGATTTAAGAGAACAGCATGTAGCCAAATTTTGTTTCCTGATCAGGATAAATGCCATAGAAACTGTTGTGATGTTGAGCACAGCTTACAAGGACAGTGCTAGGGGAAAAAACAACTCGTGTATGAGTGGCTTTCTTGGTTCAAAGAAGTGAAATGCCTATTGATGGCAAACCTTGTTCTGGATGTCCGTGAACTTCCTGAACGGACGAAAATGTCTACTCATAGTGCATGTGGAGCTAGTTCCACCAGGTCAGACTGTTAATCAAGCCTTCTATTTAGAGGTTCGCAAAAGATTGTCTAACAGTGTGGGACAAAAAAAGGCCTGATTTGTGGCAGACCAGGGACTGGTTTTGCTACCACAACAATACACCTGTCACACAACTATCTCAGTGTGCCAGATTTTGGCCCAAAAAAGCATGTCTTTCTTTCCCCATGCACCTTCATGAGGCTTATTTTTGTTTCTGTGAATGAAGAGGGACATGAAAGGACAGTGATTTGACATCATAGAAGAGGTGGGGAAAAAAACAAACGAGGGAGGTACTGTCAGCAATCCAAACAGATGAGTTTGAAAAAGTTTTCCAGAATGGAATTGCAGATTTGACGAATGTATTAAGTGTAATGGAGAGTACTTTCAAAATGATGTTTGTTTTGTAAAAACAATTTTAAATGCATAGCATTGAGGGGAAAAAAACATTTTGGGGGGAGGTACCCCCTCATATTTGCTGACAATAAAAACACAGCATGTGTAAGAAGTAGACATTTTCCTGTCTTGAGTTGATGGGTTTTTGTTTTTTTTTGCTTCTTCAGTCTAATGTTTTAAATTTGTAAGTAGAGAAACCACCGAGATTTACAGGCTGGAACCTGTCCAGCATTTATCCCAGCCAAAAGGTCAATGTCTTCTTCCACCCCCCACCCACCTTAGATCTCTGTACCACACCAAGCTGTGTCAGATGGAAAGAGAGAATTTCTGGTCCTGTGTCTTACAGTCAAATATTAACAAAGTCAGTTCGATGTAGGTTTAGAAAAAACACTGATAATTTTTTCATTAAATTGGATAAGGCCTTTGGATTCTTTGTCTCCGTTTCTTTATAATATGTATGAGTAGACAAAGTCTGAAAGTGTGATTTTTTTTTTTACTTTCGTGAGGCTTATTTGGGGCACAGAGAAACACAGTGTGCTTCCAGGCTTGCGTTGCCAGGCCCAGGTCCCTAACGAGTCAGGGTCTGTGTAAGGGATGGAAAGCTCATTGTAATGTTTGGTTCATTACTCGGTTACGTGAGTAACTGAAGCCCAGTTAGAAAAGTAAATATAGTGGGATAGCAAGTAGATGAGGAATTTCAAAACTAAAATGTATCAGCTACTTAAAGAGTGTCAGCTACGTATGTTTCTGCACGTGAGGAAAAAGTAAGCATGCTTACATTAAATTCCACCAGAGGGCAGAGAAAGAAAAGAAATACGGCGAAACTCAACGCCATTAAACCTCTTTTACCTTCAGCATTGTTTAGAAATTGAAAGTGAGATTATAAAATTAGTTATTAAATGGCATTTTAGTTGGATGTAGATTTCATTTTCTGTGTTCCCCTGACCCACGCTCACAGGAAGTTGCACACAGTTTGGTGCTTTAGCTCGTGGTGCCGACGCTTTGGCTAGTGGATCAGGAAAGACCCTCTTTTGAGAGTAGACTATGGGATGCTTTGTTTTAGGTCTTTGTCCATCTCCAAGGGTCTGTGTGAACTGTAGTTCTTAATTATTTTCTGTAAGCAAGAGAATCCTTTTTTGGTAGTTTATCCAAATAACACTTTATTCAAAACATTTTATGAAGCTACAGGAAAGAGTAAAGCAACATGGAACTTTTATATTAGATGAGAGGAGGGGGGAAGAGAATAGAATATTGGATGGACAGGGTGTCAGCGGAAGTGTATTGTGCACAGTTCCATTTCAATTGCTAGTAAAATTACCTTTAATAACTTATTTACAATGTATGTAATTTAGCAACTTATATTTTCTCATCTGTAAACTGGTGTGGAGAATACTTGTACCACCTATTTAACATTATTGTTATACTAAACGAAAAACCAATAATGGGTGTCGAAAAGAACCCCCAAAATGGCTACTTGGGGCTTAGTAACAAAGTGGACATCATGGTGATATAGTAGCAAAGGAACTTTTTGCGTTGTTTTTTTTTTTTTTTTTTTGCAGAGGGAAGTATTATTGAATTGATGGGCATTGTCTGAGACCAGCTTCCTAAAACTGTCCTTAGCAAGATTTTTTGATCTCTTGTTGCATTGGTTTTAGGAGATAATCCCCTTACCCCATCTAATCTACAAAATAATTCAAATATAATGACACTTCCTGTTGAAAACTGTAAATGTAGACATGTATAATCTGGTAAACGGTCAGATTTGTAATGCATCTAGTTGTAGTCTTGAAAAGACAGTAAAAAAAGTTGATAGAAGAATTACATTGTCATTGCTTTTAGCATTTTAATAGACTTTAGTTTTTCAAGAAACACTTCATCAGCATGGAAAAATACAGTTTCTTTTTGTGTTTGTTTTCTCAGATTAAGGACACGTGGCACCAAGTTTATAGAAGACATTTCTTAAAAACAGCTCTAAATCACTGTAACCTTTGTCGCAGAGGCTTTTATTACTACCAGAGGCATTTTGTAGATTCTGAGGTAAGGTTTTCAGAAACAAGCAGAAATGTCTGCTAGTGATAGTTGCTTGACTATACTTAAAAGTAAACTTTGGTTTTAGCATTAATTTTAACTCCTTGGTAAACAGTATGCAGGATTCATAAAGAATAACCTAGCACATTTTTGGAAAGCTTTATTCTATTCGTATAGTAACTTATTCATACACATACACACACACACATCATGCACAATACCAGTCAGAGTGTGCATAATAGACAATGAATCACTTCTTTCTAATATTGCTCGTCCATTTTTAAGAAGTAATGATGGTTTTGTTTTACATTAGAATGATACATTCCTGTAGTGGAAAAATAAATTTGAAAGTTGATGTAAAAAAAGGAAGTCATGAAGGTAAGTCAAAAAGTATTGCTGCTCGGGTTTTAGTCCATATCTGCACAGATTTTTTTTTTTTATGTGGCCAGTGAATGACTCAGACAGGTTCTTTCTCGGTAAAGACGTCTTAGTCTCATTAAAAACAAACAAACAAAGCTCACTGCCATCAGGTCAACGCTGACTCAGCGACCCTCTAGGACAGGGTAGAAGTGCCCCTGTGGGTTTCTGAGACACACTTTTTCGGGGAGTAGAAAGCCTTGTCTCTCCACTGAGTGGCTGGCATTTCCCTTGCAAGTAGCAGCCTCGCCTGTAACCCAGTACACTGCCAGGGCTCCTGTCGCCTTTAAAAGAACGAGAAGGATCCTCTGTGCCCTGGGGGGAAACGCCATTTTGAGATCAGGGCTAATATCAAATCTTTAACAGACTCAAGTGGACATCTTCCCAAACCATTCAGCCTTTCCCACAAGTTTCTGGGAATACCGTCCCACCTAAAACAACAGCTCTTGGGTGGAGCAGGTGTTTTGGGACAGGTCAGGAAGGCTTCAGAGATGAGCTGAGAGAGGAGAGACTGTCAACCTCAATGAACCAAGAAGCTAACGGAAGACCGTCTCACATGATTCAGCCTTTGACGTTTCAGCGGACTAGTGCCGAAAGCTTTTCGAGAAGATCAGCCAGCTCAAATAACTGATCTTTCCAGCCGTCTTTTAAACAAGATCAAAGCTGGTGATGAGTGTATGGAATAACTCGTGACCTGGGCAGATCTTCCTCTTCGCAATACGATCAAGCAGGCTCCAGTCATCATCGTGGCTCCACGGAGATCTGCTGAGCCGGTTCGATGTAAGCGGAGAGGTCGCCTTAGGAAAGTACACAGCTCCTGTGGCTGGGAATGCCAAAGGGAGCGTCTTAATATGTTTTCTTCAAGGACACCGCATAGACGCGGGGGTTATTGTGCAGCGGCTGTAAGAATATTGAAACCTGCCTTGGTGAAAAAAGCCAGGAAAGTTTTGTATTGAGGATTTTCCCCTCACCGCAGTGCATTTACTCATGCTTCAAGGGTAGCAGTGTCCTGGAAGAATTCCTTTGGGACCCCTTCCTTCAGCCTTTAAATTTCTTTTCAATCCCCACAACTCAACATTAAAAAGGACTTGATTGGAGGCCCATGAGGATGCCCAAGCTGCCATTTTGACAGGTGTACACCAAAATGCACAAATGGGTTAGAGATGAAGCCTCACCTTCAGAAGTGTAGACGTAGATGTCAAAAAGCTGTCGCTTCACATTTGATAGATTTGTTTAATAAAGGTTTTTATGGTCTCGCAACAATATTTTTTGGCGTATCTTCATATACATGCCTGTCCCAGAAACAATTTTGGTTAGTATCTTTCTGTACAGGTATGCATCACTTAACATCTGGTCAGGCAACATCTGACTACACATGTGTCACATCCATGGACCAGGGCACCCAGGTGTCTGAGGGCGGCTCTAGACTCCCGTCTTGAAGTTGGAATCTCACTTTTGCTCCGTTGTTGAGTGCCACTGGAAGGCACCTAGTCTGTAGCAGTGGAGGTCCAGACCCGAACTCCCAACCCAGACCTCCTCAGCTCCCGTAGTTCTGCAGGTCTGGTATCCTTGTTTGGCTGGTACAGTGGGCCCATAGGACACTAATGGAAAGGTGGCTCGAGCCCCCTTGGCCACACCATACCTATTCCCAGGCAGGTTCTCATGTCTAAACTGACCTTCCCTGCAGCTGGGTTAGTAGAGACATAGCGACCCCTGTGCAGCACTGAGCCCAGCAGTCCTCTGAGGTATCTTTCGCAGGATCCACCAGGGCTTTGCCCTGCCCAGCAGCCTCCCGCCATGTCCTGGGAACCTTCCGCCCCAGGCTCAGTGTGTACACAGCTCCTATCTGTAACAGGAATATGTACATTGAGGTATATCTGGGTGCTTTTTGTTACTAGAGCTTAGGATATAAGTGCTGACTTCTAGTATTTGTAAGGTTGCATGTTTTCATTTCTAAATTTGCATCTGATTATTGTAACTCCTATTTCAGTTGGAATGCAACGATGTGGTCCTGTTTTGGCGAATACAGCGCATGCTTGCTATCACCGCAAATACTTTAAGGCAGCAACTCACAAACACTGAAGGTAAGCCATAGAGAAGCCACTTCCTCATTTTACAGCACTCATACTAGTGCTAGTGACCGACTCCATTTTAGGACAAGTGTGCCAAAGTACTACCTTAAAAATAGATTTATTGGCTCAAAATTAGAATTTGTTCTTAAGAAATTCGTGATCGCAAATCCTGATGGGAAAAGACGAGCGGTAAAACAGAGCTGCAGTGAAGTCTTCTTCATGACACAAAAATGCCATTTAGAAGGAATGGACCCCCGAAGACCCCTGGCTTGGGGGAAGCCTGTACCTCCATGCCTGTCACAGGGATATTGGGAGACTACAACTTTCCCCGAAACCATGTGACAGTTTCGTGGCTGGCTTCCCACCAGGTGAGGTTTCTCCTGTAGCTGGGAGAAACCGGAACTTAACAGTAATTGTCATACTACAAGGGCAGTGAGAGTTTATTCTCCATGTATGCATTTTTAAAAACCATTCTCTGTTGAGTTATACAGAGTGATAACTCACTGTTCAGTTAGTAAATGGTTCTCCTCAGAGCTTTGATTTACTTTGTACAGTCAGACGATTGGAGAAGAACGTTAAGGAAGTGTTGGAGGATTTTGCTGAAGATGGAGAAAAGAAGCTCAAACTGCTGACTGGTAAACGAGTTCAGCTGGCAGAAGACCTCAGTAAGTGGCGCTTCCTGCCTCCACCTTCCCGCCGTCTCCACTTCATTGATGTGTTCCTATGTTCAGTCCCAAACGTCCGTACAAGGTACAGGCACATCCAAGGAACTTTGGTCCTCCTGGATTTCTTGAGTCAGTTGCTGAGCCAAAGTCCCCTTACCTGCAGGTACCTAAGTGTGTATTTCCCACCAACAAGGATGCTCTTAAGAACCATAATACAATCATGGAAATCAGGATGTTCACGCTGATATATTACTACATCTCATTTCTAGACCTCTTTCAAGTTTCATCCGTTATCCCAACATTGTCCTTCCATATGATGAAATGTTTCCGGTGCATCCTGTGTTTTTCTTTCTGAGAAAGGTGTTCAGAAATCAAGATGAGCTCGTTGTTTTGGAGTGCCACCGACCCACGCTAGGAACCAAACTGTGTGTGCCAGTGGGCATGCATATGCACGTGGTACAGCTGCATCCCTAATAATGTGTGTGCTGAAGCCATGCATTAGCCCGAGTACTTACATTCCTTAAATACCACAGGGTTCATTTTCGTTTGCTCCCTTTCCCTATGTATAAGTCCCTTTCTGACAGTGAGGAACCTTGATCTTAGTATCTTTCATATCTTTACTTATTTTCATCAATCCCCTGTGTATAACCAAACTCTTTCTCACGTCCCTACCACTGGTCAAATGTCCTTTTCATGGTGCTCTGGCTCTGACCCAGGTAGGCACACATGCACAGCCAACCATGTGTCTTGCCCTGTGTTCCTCCATCCTCACCACTCAGGTCAGGTACCCCATGCCAGTTGCCCATTTCCTCTGAGCCCTTCTTCCTGAACTCATGCTCTGGTACTCCTGCGCACATGTGGCCCCACGGGTGTCATTTTTACTGAGCTCATGCACTCACGCTGTGTGCATCGTTGTCTGTTGCTCAGGTGGTAAAGCATGCTACTTTGGCAGCGTCCGTACGTCTGTGCTGACTTAGAGAAGAGCTGGGTGGACAGCTTCACTCCCCACTCTCGGACAGGCTGGCTCCTGCGTGCCTTCGTCATTGTGACTCTAATAGGAACGGGGTTCACTATCACTGTACCCTGTGTACTATATTTGTATGCAAATAATATGCTCCTTACTATGTGTTTCTAGCCACTTAAAACATTATCACCTACTCTCCTACCTGGGACTTTTGTAAGCATGCTATGCCACTGCAGTAGGAGAGGTATTCAGAAAGCGTGGGCAATGCAATGAAAAGATGATGGGTATGTTATGCGGGGGAGCGGGGAAGGCTTTTTTTCCCTGCACCCTTGGAACATAATAATCAGGCAGTGAAAATAGTCTCAGTGACTTGTATTAGCAGATACATTTTTGGTGAATAAGAAGTATTAATGCCTTTTCTTGTGTTCTGTGACAGAGCCTGTGTAACCTCAGCGTCCTCCAGGCCAGTCCCAATCAAATCATTTAAAGAAAATGTTTTAACTAATTCAAATATATGCACTGTCAAACGAAGACTTATGTTCTTGGCTTGATAGTGCATATATCGAGTGGTTTTTCTGAGAAAAAATATATTCACATGACTCTCTTGACATAATTTACTACGTGTAATAAAATTAAGGTAGTGTTAATGCACCAAGGGATGTCCTTGGAAGCAGTGCTTTACCAGTGACTCAGCTCCATCAGTCACACTAAAGCAGCGAGCCATGACTGTCCATTAGCTGCCACAAGAGGCCTGAGCGCACTTCTCCTGACTGCTCTCTGTGTTCTAGCATGTGCCAGTGTGGCCACAGCTACTTCCCAGCCAGAACGCTTCCGTCCTGATCAGGGTTTCTGTGCATTTAGCGTGTATGATGCTGATGCGGCTTGGAGAGAGGGGAGCAACCCAGACTTTTACCACAGTTCTAAACTCACACAGGGTAAAGGGTCCTAGAGAGGGGTAACATTTTTTTAAATCATTTTATTGGGGGCTCGTGCAACTCTTACCACAATCTATACATACATCCATTGTGTCAAGCACATTTGTACATTTGTTGCCATCATCATTCTCAAAACATTCCTCGTTTTCCCCCTTCTTCCCTGCTCCCCCCTCCCTCATGAACCCTTGATAATTTATAAGATCATTATTTTGCCATATCTTAGCACTGTCCGATGTCTCCCTTCATCCACTTTTCTGTTGTCCATCCTCCAGGGAGGAGGTTATATGTAGATCCTTGTAATTGGTTCCCCCTTCCTACCCCACTTCCCTCCACCCTCCCGGTATCACTACTCTCACCACTGGTCCTGAAGGGATCATCTGTCCTGGATTCCCTGTGTTTCCAGTTCCTGTCTGTACCAGTGTACATCCTCTGGTCTAGCCAGATTTGTAAGGTAGAATTGGGATCATGGTAGTGGGGGATGGGGTAGGGGGAAGCATATAAGAACTAGAGGAAAGTTGTATCTTTCATTGTTGCTACCCTGCACCCTGACTGGCTCATCTCCTCCCCGCAGCCCTTCAGTAAGGGGGGTGTCCAGTTGCCTACAGATGGGCTTTGGGTCTCCACTCTGCACTCCCCCTCATTTACAATGATATGATTGTTTGTTCTTTGATGCCTGATAACTAATCCCTTCGACACCTCGTGGTCACACAGGCTGGTGTGCTTCTTCCATGTGGGCTTTGTTGCTTCTGAGTTAGATGGCCGCTTGTTTATCTTCAAGGCTCTAAGACGCTATATATTTTGATAGCTGGGCACCGTCAGCTTTCTTCACCACACTTGCTTATGCACCTGCTTTGTCTTCAGTGATCATGTCAGGAAGGTGTCCATCATGGAATGCCAATTTAATAGAACAAAGTGTTCTTGAATTGAGTAAGTGCTTGAGTGGAGGTCCAATGTCCATCTGCTGCCTTAATACTAAGCCTATAAGTATATGCATGTAGATCTATTTCCCCACCGTCCTCTATAAATATATTTACATATGGACATGCTTGTAGTTAGACCTCTATAAATGCCCTTTGCCTCCTAGTTCTTTCCTCTATTTCCTTTTACTTCCCTCTTGTCCCACTATCATGCTCAGCCGTCATTTGGGTTTCAGTAATTCCTCTCAGTTACATTGCCCTTGCTGAATCCTTACCAGGCCTCTCACACCCTCCTTGCCACTAATTTTGGATCATTTGTTGCTCCCTTGTCCCTGGGTTGGTCAACACCACCTCCTTTCCCCTGCCTGCCCCTCTCCTCTGTCCCCCTGGAACCATCGGTCCCATTGTTTTCTCCTCCAGACTGTTCATCCAGCCCATCTTATCTATATAGAGCTGCAGAGAGAATAATATGCATCAAAACACAAGGCATAGCAAGACAAAGCGACAGAAGAGAACACAATGATGGTAACAAAAAAGAAAACCAATGACCCAGAAAAGAGTAAATTAATTTTTATTTAAAAGAAAAGAAAAAATTTTTAAAAGAAAGGAAAAAACCTGTAAATAGACCAAGGTCTGATTTTTAACATCTAGGCATGTCCTCCAGTCAAGTCTGGTGGGGTGCCATGCGCTGGCCCCAAGTCTGTCCTTTGCACTCCCTAGGGAGCTCCCTGCTCTGCTCCGCCCGTTGCTCTGCGGCACGCTTTCAGTGTTTTGTCTCGGGGTCTCGGGGTCAGACCAGGCCAATCCCAACACTGAGTCTCCAGTGTTGTTCCCCATAGGGCCATGGGTCAGCGAGGTATGTCGTGTCTTGTAGTGGGATCAGCCATACGGTCCACTCTGCACATTGGCTGTTCAGAGCGGAGATACCATCCTCTAGGCTTGGTGGGCCAGGATGTGCTCCACTCTCTCTTCCTCCCCCTTCAGTTGCTCCTGTGTGCTCTGGTCAGACATGTCCCTCTCCCCTAGCTGCAGCTTCATTCTTCTGGGGGAGGGGCAGTTGTCCACAACGCTGGTATGGGGGCTGAGCCCTCAGACCCCTCCACTGGCTCCCTTTTCCATTCCGGCACGCTGCATTCGCATCCCGGAACACCGGATTTAAGTCTGGTCCCTCTTTCCCTGTGCAGACACAGGCAATACCTTCCCCTTGGGTGAGTCAGTGCCCTATTCCCCCGAGAGAGTGGTGACATTTTAATACCGATTTAGGGTCAGGCTTAAATTTTCTTGAATGTAAATTGGCCACTTTACCTTGGAAACACATCAACTGTTTGTTATTTAAAATAAGCATATAAATATATATAAAACAATTAAAAATAAGTCCTCTCTCATTCTGGAGCGGGTTGGCCATGATCCCAACCAGAATACTCGAGTTAGGAAGACCAAAGAAGACTAAGGGGCAGCATGAAGTTTTCCTAGTCACAGGAAGCTCTTGAAAGAGAAGTCAGATAAAGGAACCAGAACTTCTTGGGAAGGAGGGGAAGGGATGGGAGGAGCCTGGGACCTGCTCTGTTGTCAGAAAGGGAATGTTTGAAGTGTGAAAGGGGCGTGCCAACAGGACAGAGCAGCCACCTTGAAGGGGCTCCAGCTGACCAAACTTTGGGACAATTTTCTCATCAAAACCCATAATAAATTATAGCCAGTAATAAATTTAGCCCATTGACTAAAATAGGAACTCAAGATACTGTAAATCAATGCTAAGAAATGGGATATTGGTATAATCTCATAAAATGTCTTCACATAAGATATTTATTCATTAGAAAGGGGAAGTAAAGGTCATTTTATAGTGCCAACTTCTGCTAATCACCAGCTCCATCCGGTGATGGAAGTGCAATATTAGTAATGGTCAGCTCAGAGTCACGTGTCCTCTTATAGATGCAGTGAAGACAGCCCAGCATCATATCTAGAGCATCAAAAGATGTATGAACTGGAACACAAGTTCGCCTACAGGCAAACTCAAGGCATAATCTAAAAGTAACCGGCCTCTAATTGTCCAAAATGGCTGAGACGCCGTTGCAGAGGAAAAGGGACACCAGCCATGGCAGCAAGTACAGTGTATGAATCAGGACTGGGCCGCTGCGCGACAACGGGCAAAACTTGCATGGAGCCTGAGGGTTACACCGTACTAAA